TTGCGCACAGAACAGCTACAATCTAGGCTTTATAAATAACAGCAGCCCTTTAGGTTTCCTAGGAGGTCTGGCACTCTTACAAATGAATGTGCTGCTAGTTGTCTGAGACCAGACATCGGAAAGCTGTCCATGAGTGCTGTTGGCCCACTGTCTTTTTTCCCTGCCCCCATTCCCTTTCTCTCTCTCTTTTTTTTTTTTTTTTTTCCTTTGCTGCCTTTTTGTTACTGAAACACAAACCCTCTGTGGCCTGCAATCTCTCTGTTGCTTGCTGAAGATGAGTGATTCATCGGGTCCAACCTGATAAAATTGTGCAAGCCAGGCACCAAAGTTAATCAGACCAAAAGGAAAGAGTAGAGGGAAGGGAAAAACAAAAACAAAGAGCCCCAGAGCTAGTTCTAATTTTTGAGCCTCCCCTGGGAATTTAAAAATGCATGTATAATGTTCTCAGCCTGGCTTCTCCGTCCTCCCTCCCGCCTGCGTTGGGAAATCTGAGAGCAACCCAGGCGATGGGTTTTCAAGTGCAACTTCCGATGTTGCAACGCCGAGGAGCATGATTCAACAGGCCTCCGACTGCCCTGCCACGGCTCATTCATGGCGCCTTCTTTGTTAATAGCACTGGGGAGCAGGCGGCTGCGGTTGCAACCTGCTAATCACTTCCACTCGGATTTGTTGTGTCACACCAGCGAGGATGGAGGTGAGGGGGCCGGGGAGCTGCTGACATGAATCATGCGCTGCTCTGCTGTGTAATTAGGAGGGAGCTCTGCGGTTCTCGCTGCACTGGTGAGATTTCTCAGGCCTGAAACATTAATAAAGGCTTCCACCCACTTGAACAGAGAATTAGCATCATCCTTGCTGATCCTGAAGGAGGCTGAGCGCTTGCTGGAGGCCTGGCTGTCTGCGATCAGGAAGGACCGGGGCACGGCCCGACCAGGCGAGGCTGGTGGCCAAGTGGCTGCCGTAGCCGGGAGGACAGATCCTGCAGGAGGGAGAGTGGTGAAAGGGAGCAGAGAGCCTGGGGCTGCTCTTGTGAAGGCCGTTGCGCCCTGCTGCGTGCAAGCTTGCGATAGCCCTGCTTGCGTCCACCCTGTGACTAAACGGAGATGGAGTTGCACAAGCACTCGTAATGGGGTGTGCCTCTGCCCTGCCGGCACGCTGCGATGCGCCGCAGCTTCCCAGGCTGCCTTCTGCTTCCACGTCTGCCACTGCAGAATATCTCTTTGTCTCAGCTGGTTGCAGAGGGGAGCTGTGCAGGGCCTGCTGGCTTCAAGCCTGGCATGGCCACAGGCCCGTCGGGCCACGCGTGCTGTTGGGGACGAGCGAGGGGTGAGCACGGTCACCTTGCACACCGGTTCATTCATCCTCAGTGCTTCGGCTCCAGGAATTACACTGAGCTCCTAGTGAGCATGAGGAAATGTGTTAAACCCTGAAACCTTCACACCACCGATGGCCTTGTTCCAGAATGAAGAGACTAATTAGTGAGTGAGAATGCTTCAAGGGATTTCCTCAAATTATCTTGTGGTTCTTTCTAGCCTCCGAGTCCCCATTACAATGGAAAGGCATTTCCTTTACGCTCTCTCATTTTAGATTAATTTTAGTTTAGTTCAGTTTTCTTGTATTTGGTATTTAACAATATTATATAAAAACAACATCTCCACATGATTTTAATTTAGAATTAAATTACTATGATACTGTCAGGAGAAAACCACATACCAGACCCTCAGCTGCTGTGAATCAGCACCAATCTGCTGATCTGAGCAGGGCAGTGCTGATTTCTTCCAGCCAAGGATCTGGCCCACCCTTGTTTAAAAGGAAAACCCATTTCCTCGCCCTGGTTGCTGAAACATTGCATATCAAGGTGGGATGTGGCTAAGCCACCTACTTTTACTTTTCACCACTTGTTTCCTTTTGTTGGTGCTTTACACTGCTCTCATTCTTTGTGGGGCAAGGGAACTTTTCTGTGGGAGATCATTTCACGCCGAGCTCACGAGCCTTGGCACAGCTGAGTGTTGGGAGGATGGGCTGAGCGTTGCACTGAATATGAAAAATGAGATTATCTGCTGCAAAATAAGACTTCCTTCTGCTATGTTTTAGTTCTTGCACGTAATGTTCATGCTATACAAGGCAGGGGGAGGAATGTCTCCTACTGTTTTTGTTCTTTATATGATGCTTATAGAAGCCAAGTGTTGGTGTGTGATTGCACTCTTCAAGTCAGAGAGCACCTGAAGAGCTGGGTACCTCTTGAGACAAATAAGAGGATTTCAGGCTGGCTCCTGTGCAATTTGTCTGAAAAAATACCTTCCACGGACTAAATGAGAGTCATTTTACTCTTGTGAAAAAGCGTCTGCTTTCCACAGCACAGTTGTATTTTTCTGTTGGCGCTGTCAGGCTGCTTTGTTTGAACACCACAGATGACAGCTTCATTATCCACTGCATCCCTTCCTTAGGATGGGAAACACAACGGCATGGGGAAGAGGGAGCCCAGCTCTCGTTTCTGATCCAAACAGTCCCAAGAGCTCTTTGGCCCGGCTCAGGGCTGGGCGCCCCAGCTGTGCCTCCCAAAGGTCCATGTGTTTGTCAGAAATCCTGTTAAGGTTACTGGCTCCTGCTGAGGTGGCACTGCAGTATTTGGACCTCAGCCACCTTCCCACGGCAAGAGGAAGAAACCCCCTTTTTAACAGGTAACAGAGGAAAAGCAGTATTATAGGTTGGGTGTAGCTGCCACCCTTCATTTACTGCAGTTGCAAGAAATTATTAACGCTCCTTTGTGGAATCAGGGAGCAGGAACAATGGTGGCCTCCACCCCGAGCACACGTCACTGCCCAAAACAAAGGCGCAGCCCCAGCGTGCATAGGTGTGGGCAGGTTTCCTTGGCTATCGGCTTGGGAGAGCCTGGCAGGAAAGGCAGGGAGGCAACAGGGGAGAGCCCCGGGCAGAGCAGAGCAGCAGTCAGGGCTTTGTGAGCTGACTGATGGAGAAAAGGGAGCGGAAACAGGAGCAAATAAACTGTGTCCAGCGCTGGGAGAGATTTTGTACCCGCTTCCTACATGAGCAGTGTTTCTGCAAAGAAATAGCTGGCACCACTGCGAGACAGAATCCACGTGGAGTCAACACAAGGCTCTGGTTATCCACTTGTCTGCAAGAAAGTCACTAAAGAAAATGAAACGAGTTGGAAAACAGAAGGCATTGGCAGGAGAACAGCCTGTTACTGGAATATATTTGTTGGATAGCAGTAAATGGAGGAGCCTGCTTTGCCTGGCCCTGTGCAAATCCCACTAAGAGTTTACAAAGCAAGAAGTGATGACTGATGCAGAGCAGAGGGGCAGCAGGGGGAGAGTGAAGTGCTTTAAATCTCTCGTTTTCATTTGACTCCGTTCCAGGATGACACAGTCCACCCTAGATTAAAAATAGCTGCAGAGTGGAGGAGAGCTCTTCTTTTTTTTTTTTTTAAGCAAACTTCAGGATCTCTTTTGGGAACATCACAGGTTTAATTCAGCCTCTCTACGTAGCTTTTATGCCAGTCTGTAAGTGGAGTTACGTCTTCATGGGCTGAAGTAATACTGTGATGACTTGCAGCTGTGACGGAGACCTCTGTCAGCCTTCCCCTTTTTGACATGACACTGTGAGGAAGACTTAGCAGCACCCTTGCAGTTACCCAGAAATGCTTTTTATCCAGGACAGTAGGGCCAAGTGGATCAATACTGGTTTGGGAGCCAAGGGTGACCTCAATCTCCCAACATACGTTTTTGGGATGACTGTTGGGATGACAGGGAGCTGTTGTTCACTATGGCTTTCCGTCACTTCCTTCAATTGCCTTTGCGTCAATAGCAACGCCTACCCGCTGTCCTTTTTAGTCTGGTTTGTGGAAGAAACACATCCTGTGCCATTGCTGCCTACCTGCAGGTTGCAGTCACACTTGGCAAAGTGGAAGAGAACTCAAAGATACTAGCTTTCTGCTTTTCATTTATGGAAATAAGCATCAGATGGGAAATGAGATTTGATTCTTCTTCAGGCCAAGTTGCAGCAGAAGTGTAGGTCTTGTTAGAAAATCACCCCCAAAAGAGACTAAGGCCTGAGTGGCCAGCATGGGGACGCTGCTGTCGGGGTGCAGAGCTGCTTTGGTTCCGTGGTAGCCTTGTACAGACGTCCCTGTGATACCCAGTGACTGTACAGGAGGGCTGGAGAGGTTTCCTGACTCCCTTATCTCCCATCTGCTTGGGATGGATCTGTAATGCTCTCCCTCGCTCTGCACCCTGTAGATGTGATCTCTTGCAGTGTGATCAGCGCTGGCTGCCATGAGCTGCTGTAACCACAGGATGAACAAACCTTCGGCGCTTTGTGCTGGGAGATCTGCCTGGTTCGGCAGGGAAAGTTGGCTTGGCTGCTTCCTCTGGAAGGCTGGAAGGCAGCTAATGACTCCTTTCCTAGTTGGCAGAGAGCTGATAGAAACTCAGGCTGGCACAGCACCTTGAAAGCCTCCTTGCTGAGACGAGAGGTGCAGAAATTTTTTTGGGAAAACTGAAAAACAAGGCAGCAAGGGCAGGAAGCCACACTTTACAGGCTTGCAAATGAGAAAGGAGATGTTTAGCCTCAAATTTTGCCTTTGTTCAAGTGGGAATGTATTATCTTCAAATAAAATCAAGTTAGGTTCAAAAAATGTTGGGGGATTATAATCGTTTAATTATCAGAATTATTTGGTCGTTTGAATAGCTCCGTTCATTTTTCTGTGAATTTTCTGTTTTCTGTAAAACCAAACAAGTTTTCTGGCTCTCTTGTGGGCAGATGGGACCGGTGGCATGGCAGCTAAGGACGAGAGGTGCCTGGCAGAAGCAGGAGGCTTGCGAGCAGACGAGAATCCCTCAGCCACTTCTCTCCAAACACCACGAACCACATCGCTGTTGTCTGTAGGATTTTTGATGCTGCTGCAGACCAGACAAAAAGGCCTTTTGAGAGGTTGATGATTCCTTGTAAGGGGCCTCACCTGCTGCTGCTTTGCCTTGCAGGAAGCCTGACTCACGTGGATCCTGCTGCTCATCTCAGGTGGGAGGCAGAGAACATCTTCAGCAGTGAGCTAGGAGCAACCACTTCAGCATGGTAATGGGGCTCTTCAGGGGACAGCAGGGCACGTCCTGATGTGCAAAGCCCTCCCAACAGAGGTGAGATCCTCTTGTGCTGGGCGTTCATGGATAGAAAGAGGTTGTCCTGCATCGCAGAACACGTCAAAATAGACAAGGGTTGTGTGCAGGGAAATGCTGGCATCCGTTTGGTGGGCCATTGGGAAGCAGAAAATGGGCCCAGCAAAGTCAGTTCCATGGGCACATCATGAGCTTCTTAAGAAAATAAATGTCCTGTGCTTGTTCAGCTCCCCAGATCTGGTTTTAGCATGATTGCAGTAGTCTAGCATGCACTTTGGGGGTGCAGTTGGAGGAGGCATCTGTGCTCATCACAATGGGGTTTTTGTTTCTACTTTCTGCTGGTTCAGTGGCTTCAGTTGTCTCATTGAAGCATCTCCAGTGCCAGAAACATCAGTAACAGTGGAATCAAGACTGGATTTTCTGACAACTATTACATTACGTCAGCCACTGTAGTTTACTCACTCCTGGTGCTGTTTCTTCTCTTCACAGGTGGGTCCCTGGGATCCCTGAGTTTCTGCAGTTTGCAACAGGCCTCTCCGGTAAGCAGAGTGGAGAGCATACTTCCCAGTGCGATCCATGCTGCACTGCTTGCTGCTGTGACCTTCTGCAAGAAAGTACCCGAGCAGGTGGGTGGATAACAGCTGGGAAGCTCCTCAAGGGAACGTCAGGGAAGGGGGCAGTGTCCAGTGCGTGCTTGTGTTTATGGGGGCTGCTCACAGAACCTGGCCCTGCTGTGAGAGTTGAAGATTTAGCTTCATGGGTTTCTTTTTCTTCAGGGATTAGGGGTGGGCTTCAGTCTGGATTTTTAATCCAGCTTTTGTTCTCTTCATCCTGGGGTTGAGGTTGTGTAGCACCTCAGCTCTGTACCTGAGGCTGGTCTTAAACTGGATGCCAGACACTTGCTGTTCTCACCAGGGCTGGGTTTTCACCTCCTTTTCTTTGGGCTAGCTGCATGAAGTGGATTGAAATTGCAAGGTTTACTTGCATACCTTTTTTTTTTTTTTTTTTTTTTTTTTCTTCTTTGTGATGTTTCATCACATTTCTCTACCCAGGCAGGTTATTATGGCTGATGCAACATTTGCTGCTTTGGAGTGGGGAGGCTCTGTAGAGTGGTTAAGGAGGAGGAAGTGATGGGTAGGTTGCCTGGGGAGGTGGTGGTGTCTCTGTCCCTAGAAGCGTTTTGGAAGAAACTGGCTATATGCCTCAGCCATGTTACACAGCAGTGGGACCTGTTTTAAGGCAGAATGTGAACTGCTTGTCTTTGCACCATTCCTTCACCTCTGCTTTGCAAAGAGCATTTGCTGAGTTAATTGGTAGTGACAAATGCTCATGGAATACTGCAGGTGTGTGAATAGCCATCTAAGAAGTATTTGGAAGTAGTTACTCTTGGTATTCTGGGTTTGAGCTTCCAAACAAGAGCGCCAAATAAGTGAGCAAGAAGATGACGTGCTCTTAGCTGTGGGTACCCTTTGCTGAAGGGGTGTGGGCAGCAAAGCCATGCAGAAACCGTTAGTAATCCTTGCAGGCTCTGATGTGGTCACACCAAACCAGAGGCTTTGTTTTATATGTGAATGCAATCACTTTACTTTCTAATATTTGGCTGGCTTTAGATACCATCTCCTTTTTCCCCGCTTCTGTTTTCTTTCAAGAAGCTAACATTTCTCATTTGTTTGGAGTGTTTTAGTCACTTGAGAGGCGTGTAGGCTTCTCGGAAGCTCAGGAGCTGTTTTACTTTTCAGCAGTGTCCTTCCTCTGCATACAGACAAGTGAGAGACCTGGGCTAAGAGGCTCAGGAGAGCTACTGGCATGAAAGCAAGCCTCTGAAAAAGGGTGGAGTGGCAGAAAGGCTGCATTTCTTCAAGGGATCTGTGCATTGCATGAGAACAGCTGATCCTGCTGCCTTTTCTGCAGCAGGTAACTGAATGTTTTGTGTGTGCTTTCCTTATTCTTTGCGACCCAGAATGTGTTTCTCTTCCTATCTCTTAGCTCCTTCTTTCCTGTGTCTTTTGATTTGATTTTTTCTCATCCTCCTCTACTCTTCACGCACGAAGCACAGGCCAGAGGTGCCTGCTACCCCCTTTGACATCTTCACAGCATGACTGATGCTAGCCAGGCTTTGAAACAGAAGCAGCTGCAACAGAGGGCCACCCCAGCAGGTCTCCCGTCCTGCTTCCGTTCCATCTCTCTGCATGCATCCGGAGGAGCCAGCCTGCTCACAATGCCATGGCTGTGGCTTCAGCCAGCCAGAAGTCATCTGCAGTTTGCCTCCTGTGACACTGAGTCACAGGGGAGAGGAAGGTCTTGATTCACCATCTCATGGGAAATGCTCTGGCTCCAGGCTTCCTTTAGCATTTCCTCACTTAAACACCAGTTCAGCAAAGCATCTGAATAGAGTTCATTGAACTGCTGCCTACACCTCACTGCCCCCCCCCCCCCCCCCCAGTATGATAGAAATTTTTCTTGTGGCACTGATGGTTGTTTCCTGAAGAAGTGTCAACTATATGAAGCAGGGCTGGGTACTTCGGTGTTCCCTATTCATGAAGAATTCTAAAAATACTTTGTTAAAAACATGACTCTGATGGCAGATTTTTTTTTTCCTTTTTCAGCTTTTGCAAGCTCTGTCAGTTCAGTAGCGAGGAAATATGCATGCATGATAAAGAAGAGTCTTTTTTTTTCCCTACTGCCAAAAGAAATGCAACATTCTGGGGAAAGAGGAAAGGTTCTCGTTGCTTTCATCAGTAAATGAAACTAAGAAGAAGTCTCTCCTTCCTCCTCTCTCTCTTAACCCTTTTGGAGGAAATTTTCCACTTAGCCACCTTTTTGGAGGCACTGGACAGCTCTGCCTTGGCCTTGGTCCAGAAGTGTCTCTGATCTGCAAAACTACCCTGAAAACTGGAAACATCACTAGAATAGGCTTTCCTGTGAGATTTCTGCTTCCTGCTGGGCTGACAATGCAGCCAGACTCAGTGGGATTTCCCCTGCACCAAGGGGGACGCGGTGTGGCTGCATGGTAAGTCAAGTCCAAGGCTCCTCCTGAGCAGAGGAGGAATCTGTGAAGACCCAGGTCTACTTAAATACTCAAGGTGTTCACACCTGAAGTTTTTACTGGTGGGTAATTCTTTAAATCATTCACGGGTGAAAGCAGCCTTTAGATTTGCCAATCTTATGGAAGAAACTTAATGTTTGGAGTGTTGCATTGGGACCCCAAAGAACTATTTTGGGAAAACTAAGCATGTAACACCAGCCATGGCTGGGCAGGATTGCTTCACTCTCTAATTGCTTCTTTAATCCACGGTTGGCTCACCTCTGGCAGGCAGTGCAATCAGAGCTACACTGGTAGCCTCTCTTAGTGGTTGGGTGCTCTGATGGTGTGAGGGACAGCTGGATGGACAGAAGAGGACAGTCCTGACAGACTTCTTATTTCCTCCCTTCCCAACCAAGGTGCTCAGGTTCTGTAGCTCCAGCTGAGCAGAGCTGGGCTGGGACTCGGAGCACCCATTCATTCTACATCGATGCCTCCAAGATCATTTGAAGGTAGCGGTCCTGGTGTCATTCAAGGTGATGTTGAATCCCTAAAGCCTCTTTCTAAATTCCTGGTGCCTCCTGTCTCTCTCACTGAGATCTGCTGCTTTGCAGACTTTGCTCTTACAGAATCTGCTGGGCTGGAAGGTGCAGCCTGCTGTTCAGATCACATTTACAGAGGGCTCATGCTAGACTTAAGCCCGTATTACGTTTGTTCCTTTGTGATTCTTATATTTGTCTTGTACTTTGTCTGGGAATTCAGATTGTGTGTCTTGGCCTGGCTCTGTCATATATGTTTAATCCCAGTTTCTTTGCTCTCCTTCAGGGACTTGCTAGGGAACAGGAAGCAAATGGAGTGTCTTGGTGAGACGGCTTGTAGGGAGAGCTGACTGCCAGCCAAAAACCCTATCCAACTACAAAAGCAGCTGTTTCAGACCAAAAAAGTTTGTAAGTTTGTAAGCAGAATTATTTTCTTAGCACCTCATCAGGCTTCCTGCAGAAGCTTGGGCAGTCAGACAGGTTTTCCATCCTGGTAGGCTAGGAAACACGGGGGGATTATTTAGACAAGATGGTGAATATTATTTGGTGATTGCATTGCAGAAAGGGTTGGCTGCGTGTGGGTGAGAGGGGAGAAGTCTGGAGGCGTGAAAAGGGGAACACTTGAGCCAAATCAATACTAGGGGTTTGGAGTCAGGTTTCTGCCTTTTTCCTGTGCCTGCTAATTCCAAGCCCCAGCTAGAGCAGGTTTGCTAACTTTTACAGCTGGATCTGGAAGATTTGTGAGTGCATGCCTCAGGCACTGCAGAAAAAAGGATTTTTTCTAGGCAGTCTACCTGGAGGACTGGCTTTGTCTTGGCTCCAGTGGGTCCCAGCTCTCCAAACTGTGGTCCTGCCTGGTACCTCTTCTAGACTAAGAAGTACCTGGAATTAAAGAGAGAGATTTGTTTGGGAAGTAATTTGCACAGGAAAGGAGAGAGACCTGCTCCCTGTGTCTGGCATACAGGTCTCACCATCATTTCTCTTATGGAAAAAAACACCTCCACATGCTGCCAATGGACCAAAGGAAAACAGATCTGTTGAAGTTATCCTAGATGGGCTGTGAAACCACACAGAGAAATATTCGTCACTTGAAAATAGCCCTGTTTTATAGACAATATAAGAGTCAGCCTCACAACATGCTTTGCAAGAAGGTGTCCTGCTGAGGCACTTTGTTAATAAGTGCATAGAGATGGCTTTTCTTTCTTTGGGTCTGACTGCAATGAGACACTGCTTCTGGGTTTGGTGGTGCTAAGGCTGCAGGAACTGCTGCCCCGTGCCATTGTACTGGTGGTGTGGGCCACATCCTGCATAGGCAGGCTTGCTGCTGGGCCATGACATGTTTCAATACAAGATGTCAAAGACCCAGATGTGAATTTCCCTCAGTGAGGAAAGAAAGCAATATGGATTGGTGCTGTAAACCTGACAGTCCTAGCAATTAAATGTCGTGGGGCTGCTTCCACTTTGCTGTTTGTTCCGCTCCATCCTAGCACACCAGCCTGGAGAAGGGAAATTCCTGATCTCAGCACCTAGACATGCCCTTTGTCAAAGCTTATCTTGTCGATGTGACCGATGTGACTTGTGTTGAGGCTTCTTCTGTGGTGCTGTTATATGTGGGGTGTCAGCCTGCTGCTGCTACAAATGTTTCCCGCTGTGGTTGTGAATGGCATAGCTGTCCTAACATGGAGACAGACTGTGCGGTTCACAGGTAGACCAGGGATGATCTTCTCTGTCTTTTTATGCCCTTGCAAGTCCCATGGGGTTCTAATTTATGTTCTCAAAATTCTCAGGTTGCAGTTTGGTCCCAGCTGACACTATTGTGCCGTGCAACAGCCTCCAGAATGTCTGCCATGGGACAAGACCTTTTGGCTGGAGGAGTCTGTCGCTATTCAAGCATGGCCCAGATCCTTAGATAAAGGTAAATCTACCTTTGTTTCTCAAACACAGAGCAGTAAGCAGCAAGTTTAGGGTCACAGATGTCAGCACAACCACATCGTGCAGAGCTGCTGGGGGTCCTGTGCCCTCATCCGTGCCTGCGTATGGCTCCCCTTAGGGCACGGTTACAAAATGGTTCTCTGCATCTTTGGTGGCATGCACTATCTTTTATTGCACTCCTTTTTATATTCATAACTTTGATGATGGCAGTAATTCCAGAGCAATGTTACAAGCAATTAGCTGCTACAAGCCTTGCTGGCTGGCCGCTTCAGGCCACTATTTCAGAATGCTTCAGAAGCAGGATGTGGGGGGGTGGAGTGGGGTGGGGGGTGCTGCCTGTCCTGAGCTGAGGCTTTATTGCCACGGGGAAGCCTTAATTATAAAGCAAAGCTCATTCTCGACTTGGCTGTATGAACTCTGGGGCCCTGTTATGGATGCAGCATCCTTTTCTTCCTGGCCCAAACTGTTGGCTATCATTTGCTTTGTCTGCCTGCAAATGCAGGGATGAATTTTATTAGATAGTGATGCCTGAGCATGGGTGAAAAACAGATGAAAGCATAGTGTGAGTCAGCAGCTAGATATACATTCAGATAAATTTAAGCTAGAAATAAGGTACCTGGTTTTAGTGGTCACTATTTAACTGTTGATACCAATTACCAAGGGGTACAGTGGTGGTTTTTTTTTCTGTCACTTGAAATCTCTGAAGAAACGTTGTCTATCTCAGCAAAAAGACTTGGGTTTGGGACATCAGATGAAATTCAAGAATGCCGGAGACCAATCTAAGTGATCATGAACAGTTTTGCTGCCCTCTTAAAATTTGGAAACCTAAAACCAGTCATTTTAAAGGCAGCTGACATTCTTTAGTAGAGATACTGCTATCTTGTGACAATCTGTCTTCCCCTCTCATCAACCCTGTTTTCCTAACATGTTACTGTGGGCTGGTAGGTGTGTTCCACTGCAACCAAAAACCAGTCAAGAGCTGTGTTTATTAAAGGCTTCTGTATGTCTGTGTAATGTGGGGAGGTAGTTTACACCCAGACCTGAAACACACAGGTAGGTGTATGAAGAGGCTTTGTGCTGAGGTCATGGCTTGCTAAGAGTTTCTTTTGGTGGCAGTACTGTCAGAAGCATCTCCTGCCATTCACTTCTGCTCCATTGCTGCTTTCTCTTTCTTTTTTCTCTTCCTCTTGTTTGCTTTCTCTCTCTCTTCCCTCTCTGTTTTTTTTTTTTTTTTTTTTTTTTTTTTTAAATAGGGCTTCCACCACCATCATATGTCAGAATGTGATTTCCTTCCATCTGCCATGGCTTTCACCTTGAGAACTTTATCACTGACTTTTACACATGGTTCTCACTGTCGGGCAGTCTGAATTTGTGTCTTCAGACCAGTCTGAGAGTGTGGGAGCTGGGAGATAAGGTGGCTGCTGCTGAAAGAGACACCCATTGCTGCTTTACCAGGTGGGAGAGAATGATCATGGCCAGAGATCAACTAGGAGCTCAGCTCAGGCCCTGGGCACTGCTAACCTTGCTGCATTCACTGCCGAGGCCAGGGATAACCACCCTGCAAGGGGTGCTGATGTGTCTGAAGGAGATAGGGCAGATAGTGATCTAGTGATTGGAAGGTCCAAACAACTCTTTCTAGATTTGACCCGAGATTTAGGAAATTGGTGGTGGGGAGAACACTGTTTTGAATCCTTGTGATCTTCGAATGGCTTCAGGCTATGAAAGGAAGTCAGGGCTTCCCGAGGCATCCTGTGCCACAAACACAGCCTTACTGCAGAAGACTATATCAAAACTGGCTTTCTACTCAAGTATCGGTTTGGATACTTAGTGTAAGAAACCACAATTAATCTAAATAGTAATTGATTTTTTTGTTTTGTTTTTGGTGTGGGGGGGTGTCTCTAACCCTATGACCTATCTTTGATTTAGTAAATAAAAAATACTTTGACTTGCTGGAGTTAAGGGTGATGTCAGCGTTGTAATTTAATATCACAGCATCACAGTGCTTTGGGCATGTTGATCTTCTTAATACCCAGGAAACTGCTCCTGGATACCAACAGGGTGATAAAGTACATTGCCACTTAACTGCATGCATCTCTGTAGGAGAATTATCCTCCTATCAGTGACATTAACCAAGAAGACTCTGGCCTGCCCTGAGGTGGTGGGGTCCCTGAAGCGTGTGGCTTGCTGGGGAGATTGATATGCTTCTGTTAAGCTGTGGTCTGTAAATACAAAACCTTCTCCTCCACCCAGCCAGCCACTGCCATCTCCTCTCCACTCCCCAAAGTCTCTTCTGCTTTAAAAGAAACCATGGATTTCAAGGTCAGACTCATGGCTTCAAGGTGCTGCTGTGCATGCTGTTGACTTGACCAAACTGTATTTGAAAAGTGCTGAGGATCTCCGAGATCAATGTAACAGGTGGTGAGATCAGCTAGGCCTGTGACACCCTTACAGAGAAATGGAGAAATGCTGGAGGTCAAAGGTTTGAGTAATAGGATGAGGAAGTTAGCCCCACATCTGAGTCATGATCTTTGGGTTTGCTCTTCTGAGAAAGGGATTGTTGCGCTTTTAGAAGAGCATTAGTTTTGCTTTCTGAGCGTTTCCTTTCCTTTCAAAGGGAGGAAAAGTGTAAAAGAAGAATGTTTGTCTGTGTTTTCTTTCTCTACTTGTGAAAGCGTGAGTCAAATTCCCTTGTGGAGAAGCAGCCCTAATTTAGAGGGGGATAAAGTGTTTCCCCCCCCCCCCCCCAACAGGGAATTTTGGCCTGAGATTGGGCAATGACCTTGTCCTGGTTTTGGGTGGGATAGAGTGAATTTTCTTCCTAGTAGCTAATAAGGTTCTGTGTTTTGGATTCAGGATGAGAATAGTGCTGATACCACACTGATGTTTTAGTTGCTGCAGAGCAGCACTCAAGAGTTTTCTGCTTGCATTGCCCTGCCAGCGAGCAGGCTGGGGATGCATGAACAGCTGGGAGGGGACAGCTGGCCCCAGATAGCCAAAAGGATGTCCCATGGCATATGGCATCGTGCTGAAGAATAAAACTGGGGGGAGTTGGCTGGGGGGCTTCTGTTGATCATCTGGGCATCACTTGGTGGGTGTTTTTTTTTTTTTTTCCCTCTGTCTTATTAAACAGTCTTTATCTCAGCCCACAAATTCTGGCCCTTTTACCTTTTTTGATTCTGGATGTGTGAGTGAGCAGCCACGTGGATCTGAGCTGCCTGCCAGGCTAAACCATGATGGCCTTTAGCTCCATGCTGCTCGTGTGGCCTTCCAAGCCCAGGCCTGGGAGCTTCCATACAAGAGGCAGTGGAAAATGTGGAAAAGAGATGACTTCTGGAGGAATGTGACAGACGTGCCAAGTCTGGAGGCACCTAGAGAGTGCATTGGGACTGACTGTTCCTCTTTTACCATGCAAGAACTGGAGGGCAATGAATGAGGGCAGTTGGAGTCAGGATTTAAATAAATGAAAAAGGGGGGTTCTTGATGTCCAAAGCAGTAGAGCAGGGAGAGTTTCCCCTTAAAAGATGCTCTGGGTGCAAGGTGTTTACTTGTCTTCAAAGGAGGTCAGTACTGAGTGTCTGAAAGAAGGGCCTCTTGGGAATTACTAAACAGACAAACCATCTAGAGCTAAATAAATAAATCTCTTCAGCTGAAAATGATTGCTGGCTGACTTAATAATTAGGGTCTGGGGAGGGAAATACAATATATTCTCAGCCTGCTCTATCTCTTACCTAGGTACCAGCTCAGTCTCTGTTGGAGACAGTGGTGGGCCATGGAGATGACTGCTGTGGAGCTGTCTGGCTGGTCTAGGAGTCTGGGGAGAGGTAAGCCTGGAGGGAATTTCGTTAAGTTTCTTAGTGCACAAAAAGAAGCATCAGCACAACGAAGGCTTTCTAGAGCATCCAGAAGGCAGCTGGTCTGCTTAGGAATGTTTTCTAGGCTATTTCTAAATTGTCTGCAGTCTCAACGATTATTTCCTTAGCTCCCTCCCTGAGCACATAAGGCGTGTGCTTGCACAGGAAAGTGTACCCTGGGGCACGAGGGCTGCTGGGGAGGAGCAAGGCTGCCGTGCCCAAGAGGGAACAGAAAAGAAAGGGGAGGTCTGGGTGAAGGCACCTACAACAGGGCTTTGGAAACATGGCATCTGGCAAGCTGTATTTTCTTGGACAGTTTCACCTAACTACGAACTGACACGTGGCTGGAAGGGCTGGGTAGGAGGAGTACATGCACGCTGTGCTGGGCCTGGGAAGGAATCAGCAGTGAAAAAGGATCTCTGAACTGGAAAGTATTGGTGTGTCTCATTGCTCGGTTTGCTCTTCAGCAAAACCAACCCAAAATAGTGGTTCTGACTGTTTTCTCTGAATGGAAAGCCAAGCTCTCTCCTTCCCTGCTATTCACAGAATCATCTAGGCTGGATGAGACCTCCAAGATCACTGAGTCCAACCTCTGACCTAACACTAACAAGTCCTCCAGTAAACCATATCACTAAGCTCTAAATCGGAACATCTTCTAAAGACCTCCAGGGACGGTGACTCAACCAGTTCAGAGTTGTATTCCCAGAGTTGTGATTTCAGAAAAACAGTTCTAGGAATGTGCATTGCCCTGACACCTCCAAGCCCCTCTTTTAGGAGTTAACAGGCATGCTGATACCCACAACTTGATAAATAAATAAATAAAGGAATTCTTCCTTTATTTTCAACTTCTAAAAGGCTAACTACAGAAAAATGTGTGCCTGGCAGAGCCTGCCTCTCCCTTTGCAATGGCTGGAGCATGCTTTTGCAGCCAGTTCTGCATACATGGGGAATCACGGAGCAGGTGACTTCAGCTTAACCTTCCCTCTGAGCTTGAAGCAAGCCAAGGCAATGCAAGTGGGACCTTCTCAGAGACTGCTGCAGCTGCGCAGCACTGCCCTTACACTGGCCCCACGATCTGTTTATCTTTTGCCTTCAAGGAAGTGTCAGTTAGAGGAAGCTTCCCCAAATGGTATGGCTTAGAAAACTGTATCCTCTGCTGGGAAGTGCACATGCTTCTTTCTTTATAAGCCATTTGATATATTTTTCCTCTTTCTCTCTCTTCCCCTCCTCCCCTGGCAGCAGGATCTCTGACCATTGCATGCTTTTCATTAAATCTTTCTGAATGTAAGCTTGTATGTTCTGACACAGGGTCAGAGAGTACCATTGCAGGGATAAAACTAAGCAACGGAATGGAAATCTTTTTCTGGTTTTGATTACTGGACATTTCCAGTTATTGCAGAGTGCGTTCTTGGCTGGGGTCTGAAGACTGAGTTAAAAATCACCCGGAAAGGAGCATTCCACGATGCTCCAGAAATGCTGAACTTCTCCCAAAACGAGCAGGGAGTGTATGTGTGGCGGGGTGTTGTGTTTTGGCCAGTTTCCAGCCTCTCCAATGCTACTGTCACTCTTATCCCACGCATTCTGCTTTTACAGCATCCATTGGAGGAGGCTATTTAACTCCCTTGCCTGTATGAACAACTGACACTGTTGCGTTGTTGGGTTTAGTTTGTTTGGTTTCTAATGAAAGCCCCGTGCTTGGTGATGAATGCAAATAACCGGTTGCTTACTCAGCTTTGCAGCTCTGTTACCTGGAGGTGTAATCGCTTCCTGCACCTCTGTGCCTTTGTCTCGGTGCTGCAGTGCTGCTGGCCCAGGAGGTGCGTGCGCTGTGCCTCTCCTGTAGGCACAGCAGCACGTGGCGAGGAAATGGCTCCTGGCTTCGGCTGCATCTTCTTTGCACTGGCTTAGACACAGGCTGGAATGGATGGCACCCCTCTCATTTCGGAGTGTTTTCATCTCTTGTGAAGACCATGAAGTTTCTGCCTAAGAGGGATGGTGGCAAAGTCCCTCTTCTTTCGGTGTCTGGCTGTGCTGCTGGCCCAGGCTGCAGGGAAGGGGCTGCTGTGACTGCAGAGGTGAAGTGTCAGGGCCCTGAGTGCACCTGATCAGCCTTCGTTGCCCTGACAAACGTGACCTGGGGCCTCTACTCACGCCCCTGCCCATGGGTTCGGGGGCTCCATTTCAGCTCTGTCCCGGACCTTCAGGTGCTCGCTGAGCTGTGCTGTAGGTGTACCTGTATCCCACAGCCCTGCCTGTGCCTGGCTCCATGGGGTGACTTCCCAGACTGACCTCGGACCTGCCTGGTGATTTCTGGACCATGTCTGACCCTGGTTACTGCCACTGGGCTCAGACCTGCAGCTTGACTTCCTGGCTAGACCTTGGACCTGCCTTGTCACCAAGAATTTGCCTGATGGATCTGGACTCTAGGTTGCCCCTCTGGTCCTGCAGGATGGGGCCCTGTCCTGCTGGCTATTACCCCCTCGACTCCTCATCCCCTGGGAAGCAGCTTGCCCTTGATACTCCATGGCATGAAGTAGTGTCCTGTTGCTCTCTGACCCTTGGGAAGTCTCTAGGGGAGGAATGGTTCTTCTGAAAGGCTCATCAGTCAGAAATGTTTCATCAACATGCACAGCAAAGCAAGAGTGTGTGGCTTTGGGGATGTCCTGTCTACCCCCTGGGGAAGGTGGCCTTAGCAGTGTGGCAAGTGGGTTCCCACCAACTCATTAGTTACAAAGTTCATTAGCATTCCGGGCATGGCATGTGATGTAGTTCTTAACCCATCAGGTTGGCGAGACAAACACTTCCTTCCAGTCTAAGGGAAGGATGCTTGGGGATTTGGGGTTTTGTTTCTCGGACGTGTTTTAAGCTGCTAACACTTCCAGTGTTTTCTGCAGGGATCTGCAATCTCTCCCATACTGTGGGGTTTGCGACCTCCCAGGACCAAAAGAAAAACCGCTCTTTTGCAGAATCCTCGCTGAACGGGTTCCTTGAAAAACAAGAGATGTGTGTGATTGCCTGCTAGTTGGAAGCAAAGATCATGACAAATGCAGTTACAGAGAAGAAGCAATAACAATCAACAACAGACAGGAGGAAATGGCTCCTCAGAGAAAAGGAGCTAGACTAAAGGAAGAAAAATGCTTGGATTAGATATGTCAGTTTTATGGGAATAGGGGAGAGAGGGGAGGTTTCCTTGCGAGAGGCACTGCCTGGTCACCCTTCTCACTCCCTGTTGTGCTAGCAGCTGCACATCTCCCCCGGAGGGGCAGGTAAATACACAGAAGGAAACGTGGCACCTTCTGCAGGCAGTTTCCAAGATATGGAGGCAGCTTTACAGTGGGAACCGGCCCTCTCCTCTGCCACCCTTCTGCAACTCTTGTTCCTCTTGCAGGCTGATGTTCCCCGCCTGCCACTGTCCACTTCCCCCTGTCCTCCTGTTACCTCTTTCCAGATAAACCCTGTTGGTACCTTACCAGGTGGTGCCTGTTGGCCAGGATGCATCTGTACCCTCTGATCCTGGAGTTCTGCTGGGGTGTGGCGGGTCAGGCTGTAGGGGATGCAGCCTACAATGCACACATACCCAGGAACACACTGAGAGCAATATATCCTGCCCGTTTAATGGATACATGCTTAAAAACAATAATAATCCTTGCCAACGGAGAAGGAACTGTCACAGCCTCTTGAGCTTTCCTCAGCTCTTGCCGTGTGTACTCAGACCTCGGGTGTTTTCCTGCCTGGACTGTTTGAACTGTCATCTCCTTGGGTGAGGGCAGCATTGACTACGTGGCCACGTGGTCCTTGGTAACCTGCGAGCACTCCTGAACCACCACCAGACAAAGAGCAGCCATGCAAAGTGCTCTGCAGAACAGTCTGCATGGCAAGAAACCTGTGGTGTGTACATGTAATTCTGCCCTGTTTTGCACTAAATCCCTCCTGCTCCTCTTTTTCCTTGAGCTTGTATCAAGCTGATGGCAAACAAAACCTATTTTTCCTCCTTTCCATGAGGCTTCTATGAGTGTAGATGGTGGAGGTTGCAAACTCTTACTGCGCTTTGGAGCTATAGACAAGATCTTCCTGCATGCACTGTGCACCTCAGAGGGCAAGGTAAAAGGGACATTTTGGGAATGGCTGGGAGATGTCTGCAACCTCTTGGAGATCTCCACTGAAGGGTAAGGTGGGCTGGCTATGTTGTGACTGGGACCCTCTGCTATCTTGTTTCTTCCTGAGTTGAGGGATTTGGGTGACCCAGCAGCCCCTGTGTGTTTGTCCGCTGCTGCCCCAGAGGAGCTTTGTTGGATGTGCTACGTGTTGCTCACAAGGAACGGATTCTCATCAAAGTGGCATTCACACCGTGTTCCTCTGAATCTTTTCTGAGTATTGTGGAGACAAATCAAGGCTGAAAAATCTTATTGCTGCAGAAAATTGAGAGAATTTTGTTTTCCCCACATGTAAGAATGCTTTGTGTTGCTGGAGATTTGGGACTGGATTAAGCTGGAAGCAGGAAGCTGAGGAGATGCGAAGAACTTGAATCAAAGCTGAAGAAAGTTTTCTTGTCATCCCTTGTGAAGCATAACTTACTTATACGGCTAACAGGTGTTGTGTGACTCTTAATTATCGCAAAACCAGAATGTGTTCCTACTCCTAAACTTAGCTTGCTTTTGTCTTGGACTTTGTTAAGAGTTTTCTTCCTTTGGAGATCTTAAATCTTCTCTATATTATTCCTGTCACCATTCTGCCAAGTAAAATGTAAAGTAACACAGCTCTGCTGTGATTATCAATAAAATGTTAAAAATATCCCCAGCTTATCTAAGTTTGGGCTTCTAATGTGGTGACAGCATTGGAGCTGACCTGGTGTTAGGAAAGGATTTCCAGCTGCTCCAGTACTGCTGAGATCCTCTGTCAAGGCTCATTCCTACAGCCCGCACTGTCCACGCTGTCATCGCAGGGGGAAAAGGTGGGTTTTTAATGTGCATTTACTAACACACAAGTGCACTACCAGGTTAAGGTGGGCTGTTAAGCTCCCTGCTCTAAATGGGTGTGCTAATGCGTATACAGAGCTTACAAGGCTCAGTATTCGCTGCTGGGAAGTGCATGTGCTGATGCTTCTTTTATATATATAAATATATATGAGCCATTTGATGTATGGGAAATTTTGTGCGGAAAAAATGTCCCCTCCTGTAAACAAGCTGCCTGAACTCTTTTGGAGGCTCTTTCAATGAACTTTTGAGATACAGTTTCCCAATGTCATTCTTAATTGCCATGAAGTTTGAAGGTGTTTTTTGTTGTTGTTGTGTGTTTTTTTTTAAGTACGTTTTTTCTTTTTTCTCCCAAACTCGTTGAGCTAGTTCTCATCTACTGAGCTAGTTGAGCTAGTTCTCATCTATTCTGGAACCTACTGATTCCAGTGATAGCTGCAAATGTGTCTGAGAAGTGTAAGCAGTTGCTGAAGATTTAGTGTGAAAAGGTTTGTGGGAAGGGTTCCTCAGGTACAAAATTACATGTTTACTAAGATGAAATTTCAGCTCTACCTTTTTTTCTCCTGTCAAAGTTTCAAAATCAGGCCACTGGCAGGGAGCTGTGAGTCAGAGGTCACTGTTGTTTTAGGATTAGTACTGTAGCTTTTAACAAGTGTGGGTGTTAGATGTCTTTACAACTTAGGGAAAGGTTGTGCACCTCCTGTTATATATTTTGTATTGACACAAGGTGATGATGCAGGTTCTTAGAAATTCAGACTTGCCTGTCTCTTATGTAAGGGACTCTGGAGCCAAAATACCTTTTGAGGATCTAGTTGTGCCACAGATTGGGCCATTCAAATTGCCTGGCACAGCAGGAAATACAAAGCAGATCTCCCCTTACTGCTGCCTGAGAATTTTCTGAGTGTCGGGATGCAATGTGGAGACTTCATTCAGCAGACCTGAGCCCTTGTGAAATCTGGGACATCCTCTCCAGGGCAAGGGTCTCCATCACAAAGGAATGAGGAACCTGGGGAGGAAGTTCACCAAGCAGGTAAAAGATACCATTAACAGCAGGTTATATACATTATAGCGGCAGGTAACAGATAACATTAAAGACATGGATTTGAAATTTGAAATGTACTGAAGTCTTGTGTAGAGTATATAAGTTATGTTTAGTTATGTTTATGATAATACCTGACAAATACAAAGCCATCACTGCGTGGTGACTTATCACTTGGTTATTTCTACCTCAGCAGTGAAGACAGCTTTCTTCAGGATTTATTGACTTGGTTTTAAAGTTATGTAGTGGACTATGGACAGGGCAACACTTAAAGTTTATTTTGGGCAAATGTTCTTTTAAAAAGACTTCAAAAGCCTTCAGATGGAATGTCTTAAGTTTTCCCATGGAGAAAAACCTTAACTAGATCAATTATGTCACAGTAATCTATGTATGTTGTCAGGAGAGGTTTTGTTTCTGTAGGGTGTGTGGAATTTCAACTCTCAATTTCTAATTTTTCGGGAGTCAGAGAGGTCACCCATGCTTGTTACGTTCCTCTAAGTTCCCAGCCAAATGTGCTGACAGAAGGAAGTGTTCCCAACAGTTCAAGCTCTGCTGAGATCCTCTGTCGAAGCTTGTTCCTACAGTCTGCACAATCCACCCTATCATCAAAGGGAGAAAAGGTGAGTTCTTAGTATGCGTTTATTAACATGCGTGCATACTAACAAGTTAAGGTGGGCCCTAAGCTCCTTGTCACCTCTAAATCAATGTGCTAATGTGTATACAGAGCTCCCACATGTGCAAGAAGTCTCCTGTTAGTTGCTAACTGAACTCAAGAATATGCATTTCTTTTAAAATCGGATTTGATCTTCATTTTCCTAGGCTGTCCTGAACCAGTACAGCAGGTGTTGGCCTCTTGAGGAAGCTCTGCTGTGAAGTAGTTGTTACTCGAGGTGAATCCATTAGCCCTGTTACTCCTGACCATACGGATGGGGATGTAGTTCCCTTTGAAAATCATGGAACAACTAAAGATACACTACACTTCTTCAGTGGGAGCTGACTGTAGTAACCATCTCTTGCTTTTACTCACATTTTTTTAATCTATTTTGAAGCAATTCACTATTGCCATCCAGGATTATCATGAGTCAAAAAATGTCTTAAAAATGCTGCTAGCTCCATCAAAGAGATTTTGCACGTGTTCATCTACTAACCTCAAGCTGTCACCTGCAGCAGCTAGGAGGAACTCCCACGTTATCCTGCCTCTCTCAACCTTGGAAGGTCGGTGGGATGAGGATGTTTTCCCTACAAAACTGATTGTGGCTTGTGCAAGAGGCAGGATTCAGATCTGTAAAGGTTTTATTTTACAAAGGCAAATCTTAAATTCCCAGTGGGTCTGGTGTTGAAAGATTGCTACTCTTACACCAGACATCCTTTGCTCAGTGGTGTTTACTCTTCAATATATCCACCCATTTCCCAAGTTAAAAGTAGCTGCATGTGGAATAGTATTTTAATATCTATACCAGTTTAGATGCATGCAGGAGGTGCAACAGATTGTTTCTTTGATATACTTCATGATGAATGCTTCCTTCCATGCATAATGGATGCATGACAATAACATGTCTGTTGGGAGGGAAGCTGGGAATTAGGAGCTCTGCTGCGACCACCAGCAGTTGTTTTCTTCCTGACTTGAATTGGCATGACCCTGTTAGCCTGACACCTGTTCTGTTTCTGGGATAAACTGTAATTAAATATAGGGAGTAGGAATCCTCTTTTCTCTTTCTCTTGTGTGACCCTCAGCAAACTTCTTCTGCCTCCTCTCCTGTAGTTGTGAAGTAGGCAATGGGTAGAAATAATTTGCTTCTTGAGTCAGTGTGCGTGGCTTGACCTTGAGACTTCTGTGTATTGAACTTTAGAAAGCAGGCCTTAGCTGAAAACCACGGATCTGCTACTGAAAATAGTAAAAGGTAGCTAGCTTCAACATGATCTGCAGAAAGAATTGTAGCTGTCCTCTGCAAGTTTCTTTTCTTTTTTGGGAAAAAAAACGTTGCCACAACTTTTCTAAGTGTTGCTCTGAATTGAGGGCTCTGCTTTAAGTTGGCAGCCAAGTTTCTGAATATGGTGAAATGTTGGAGGTGTGAGAGAAAGGTGGATAAGAAAAAGCAATTTACGCCCCTAGGGAACCTGGGCACACAAAAAATATACCAGATGTTGCAAAGCGGTGCAGCTAAAAAATGACCATTAAGCTTTTCAGAGGTGTGCTCCAGGCTATGTTTGCTGTAGCTGCAAAGTGTAGCTGGGGTTCCAGTTTCATGCCTGAATGGACAGAGTCTTTTTCTTTCCAGCATTGCTGGCACTGGTGCTTTGCTGCTCTCCTGCTGTGCAGCAGTAGCAGAAGGATGGAGCTGGTGGCCTGGCAGGAGGTAGATGTGCCAGCACTAAACAGTGGAATACGGAGGTTAGCTCAGTGTGTGCCTAGATGGCTCTGTAGATCCTGGCCGTGCATAGCAGTGACCACCACTCATGTGGGAGGGGAGTGTATTTGGCTTCAGCCCAGAATTTTAAGGGTGGTGGCTCATTCAGGACATTGGTGCCAATAGGCTGTGGGGCAAGCACCTTGGAGTATGGAAGAAATTCATCGGGGATACCATTAAGATTATTAACGGGATTGAAACTTTGGTCTTTAGTACAAGGCAATGCGTTCTCTGAGTTGAAAATCTGCTTCTCCTCAGAAAATGAGCGGCTGGATGATCTCCTTTCTTATCTCCAGGATATGTTGTAAACTTTTCCATTGACCTCATGGCTTCCTCAGACAGCTGTCTCAGCTTGTCTTCTGCTGGAGTGACCTATTACTTATCAGCTCATTATCTAAGGATTTACTAAGAGCTTATGCCAGAGGCCAAAGGTGAATACCCAGAAATGTAGGCATTTCTTTCATTATCCCTACCAGGTGAATCATGTGTGGCATTTGGCCTCTGAAGTAACCTGAGCATGTGAGAGGCAAGCACAACTCATCTGTGAACTTGAGAAACAAGTGTGTAAATGACTGTTTGCCATCATTTGTCCCTAAAAAAGGGCAAATATTGGCCAAGAGCTGCTGCTTTGAAATGCTCATCTTCAACCAGAGCAAGATGTGACCAGGAAATTACATTTGTTTCTGTCTTCCTCATCAATCACTTCATGAAAAATAATTAGAATGGATTGATCCTCTAGAATGTCATCCCAAAACTTATCCCAAAGCCAAAACCCATCAGGTGTGCTTCTGCTGCTTTTCCCTTGTAAAAAAAAAAAAAAGTCACATCTGAGTAGGCAGTGAGTCCTTCAGACCTGAGTGTTGGCAGAAAGAGTCACCGAGATCCCAACCAGCATGTCCTCCTGTTTGGGACAGTCTCATTAATGCTGGGGAGCTTCTTTGGTTTTGAACATCTGGAAGCTGAGTAGAATCTTCAGTTGGTATCACTGATTGATAAGAGATTGTGAAAAAATGGGTGACATAATATGAATTTGGCAATTTTGTTGGCATAAGAAATTACTTTTCCAAAGTCTTTGAATCCTGCAGAAAAGAAATTGAATGTGCAAAATCCTTCAAAATCCTTTTTTTTTTTTTTTTTTTTTTTTTTTTTTCCTCCCTGGGAAAGTTGATTATTTATAAAACAGAAACTGTTCTGTAGAAGTTGATTTCTCTGGAACATCAGTATCCAGTGATTCAGACCAAGATTTGCTAATAGAGCTATTGATCCTTAATTTCCCTCTGAACCACAAGAAATGCGTACCTGTTGGAGGGCAGTGTAGACTACTGAAATGCTCCCTTTTGGCACTGTGCAAGTCCACAGTAGCTATTGAAATGGAAATCAGGTTCCCAAGCCTTCACCCACAAGATGAAGAGAAGGATCTTGTTTATTTGTTTGTTCTACCATAAAGAGGAGAAAATGGGCTGAAATTTTGTGGAGAGAGAAAATGGGCAACATTTCTTGATTACACTTGATGCTTTTGGTTATAGAGAGGCATGAGAGATGGTGCCTCTGTTCTTTAGCAGCTTGTGGAATATTTTCCCAGTGAAGCACAACTGCGGGGGTGTGGAAAACAGGGTCAAAAAACACAAGTAGGGATGAGGCTTACTGGCAAGAAACCATTTTTCTTAGGGCTTATGAGGAAAGAGTGTCATGACAGAGCAAAGCAGTCCTGTCTGGGCACCAGCCTTAAAAAAAATAATAAATGATACCATGTCAAAATCCCCCTGCATTCTTTTTAGGTGCTTTTGTATTCTTTTCGTCACGAGTTTTGGGAAGCATGATGTTGTGGTTTTCATCTCCTAAAGCTGTACTGCTGGATGTCTGCCCAACATGAGACATACGTGAGCAGGGAGACTAATTTAGTTTTTCCTCCATCATTACAGGGGTAGCTTGTGCAGAGCTTGCCTCTGAAGACAGGCAGAGAGGTTTTTGTCACTTTCCAAACTCACAGAACCACAGAACGAGGCTGCCAGGGACCTCTGGAGGTTATCTGATTCAAGCCTCTGCTCCAGCAGGGACATCCAGAGCTGCTTGCCCGAGATCATGTCCTGGAGATCTCTGAGATTTCAGCTTCTCCTTTTGGAAGGATAGCTTTAGGTCAGGACTGTAGCTTTTATCAGAATGGCATTACTTCTGAATATTACCCTTTATATTTACTTTTCCCTCTGTTCTGAGATGCTTGATTGCCATTGTGTACACGGAAACACCCAGCGATCCTATTTCTGTATCCAGCCCTGAGATAAACCAGACTATGACTCTGTGTCCAGTGAAATCATCATTACCAGTTCATGGCAGCAGTGTAGATGTCTTTGCCAAAGAGATACTTACTCTGAGAACCAAATGTATTTTCACTTCTGAGTCCCAAGCAGCTCTGTCACATTCAATTATTTTGACACACACAAGTGCAAGTATTATGAAGTTGCCTTTTGCTGTTTCTTACTGTATGCCTATGCTAGCAACCTATTTTTATTGTGATGCTGGCTGTTCAAACTGAAAACTACAATTGCCACCTTTTGCCAGAGCTGGGCTTGTAAGTGATGGGAGGTATTAAACACACAAGGTGTTGCTGCAAGTTGTCACCCTGCCTCTAGCTCCAGAAATGGAGAAATTGTTGCAAGGCATTTCTTGGTCACAAAACAAGTGCCTAGCCCTAAAACTGTACAAGAGCTTGAAATTCACAAATATACTCCAAGCAACCCAAAAGCATTGCTGAGTGTATCACAGATGAAGACGCACCCCTAGCTAACTGTCCTATTGAATTCTGTTAACAGGTTTTGTTTAAATTTTGAGTAAACTCTGACTTCTGTGAGCAGGGGGCATTGGCTCTGGAAAACATCCACCAGCTGGATCCTGTGTATCTTCAGAGCTTTTTTTCCTGTCCCTGGGTCATCGGTGAGTGAATGATTTTTCTGCCAAAAATTTAAGTAGGGAAAACCATCAGAATTTATCAGTTTCCAAAACCAGCTCTGCTGAGCAGGACGCTCATACCGTAGTCACGCTATGATGGACTTGTACTCTTAATGCAACTAGTGGCTGTATATTGCAAGGGGAAGGTGAACTTGGAAGGGAAAGAAAACACTTCATTTTGAGCTGAACTTCCATACCTGCCACAGTGCAGTTCAGTTACCTTAAAACCTGCAAGACAAAAGAGGGTAGAAGTGCAGTGTGCTGAT